AGACCTTGATTGTAAGTGAAATAAACTGTAACTACAACACTGAGCCCATAACCTTGGTAGTAAAATAAAATGAAGTGGAAGAAGCCATGCTGTAATAACAATTTAATATTCACCAGATTGTAAAGTGAATCTAGGAGGAATCATTGCACATGCAAGGAGAAAATTACCACCCCATATAAGCTGCAGTGAGACAGATTCATGGTCACCTAGAGAGCCCCAAAGACTGACTGGTGATTTTCTTTAAAATGATGGCTGGAAAATGATGGTGCTTAATTCATTTCTTCATGTCCTCCAGAGCAGAATGAGCTTCAAACAGGTCTCACATTGAGGGTTCACATTGTGAGCTAGTTGGATTATTAAAGGAGATGAAGTTGGGATGGCCTTTCAATGGATCAGTGAATGCTTGTGTATTGGAAAGACCTTGGTTTAAAAAGCTCAGAAGGCCAGGGTTCCAATCAGAACCTTGCCAATAGGTAGTTGTTTGATCCTGAGGACATAACCTAACCCTCTCTCCATTGAAACAGTGGAATTTTTCCATACCTCAGTGGTGTAGGATTAAAAAAAGCCAGGGTTCCAATCAGAACCTTGCCAATAGGTAGTTGTTTGATCCTGAGGACATAACTTTACCCTCCCTCCATTGAAACAGTGGAATTTTTCCATACCTCAGTGGTGTAGGATTAAAAAAAAATTTAAACTTTCTTTCAAATAAAACATTTTTATCAATGGCATTCATGACTAGGTGCTGACATTTCCTATGTTATTACCCCTTCTCCTTGGTTCATTGGCTAGGAATGCCCCAAAATTACTTAATTAAACCATAAAACTTATTTAAAACAACCATAAGCAATTTTTTTGAGAGGTTTTTGCTATAGCGTGCTTGTGCTCGCCAGAAAGAAAGAGAAGACAGAAAGTGAGAAATCACCACCCGGGGGGATGGCCATGCCACAATCCCTTCTCCTCCATTCTCCTCTCAGGATCTTGGATACACACATACACGCATCTGGTGTGAGTTTAAGCCACCAGACTTGAACCACGGTTAGCTATATGAGAGTTCAGTGACAGCCATTATGCTAACTGCTGGTCTTAAAGATGTCTTTATCATGTCAGTAGGTACATAAGTGTAAAATCTTATCACTGAACCATCAAGAATACACATGGCATTCAAAACATAGTACCAAGTTACTCTTCCTATTGAGATCCCCATAAATCCATTCAGAATAAGTCTTATATGGACATCTAGGAGTCCTTTTCTCTCACCCATAATGATTTAGAGTTTATCTCTACATCTGTGATTTTCTCCCAGCATCCTGGCTTCATGTTGGAAGAGCAACACTGTATATATTTTATAATGCCAACCTTATACACCCATGAAAACTTTTAGTCCTTCAGAATGCCAGTATACTAAAGCTCCCCACCCTGAGCAGGGATAGAAGGCTGGAAGGAAGAGCAGAGATAGAAGGGGGAAAGGAAGGAAAGAAAGAGAAGGAAGGAAAAAAAAAGAAAGAAGGAAGGAAGTAGGTAGTGAGAAAGAAACATGGATGGGAAGATACAGGCCCACTCCTTAGGTTAGCAAGACAACCTCATTAGAAAACCATATTGATATTTGAATGTTAAACTGTCCTAACATTAGGGTTTTCATAACTCAGCCCTCTAATCAACTAAGTAGTTGGGATCAATCATGGGTAAATGTAAGCCATAATCTGGCTTAATAATGTGAAATGCTTGGTCACAATTACAGTTTCCTTATAAAGGATTTTCATGGTCTAGGCTCCCAGTGCTAGATTTGGGAAAATCTAATACTTGCTCCTAATGGATGTGTGAGCATATTCTTTCCTTTCCCTTCCCATATCAACATTAGCATTGTTCATTTTAGCATAGCCATTGTTTAAAAATGGCATGCAAATTGCCATTTTTCTTCAGTGTTTAAATTTCCTTTGTATTTCAAGTGTTTATTAAGGCACTCTATACCTTTTGTATCCATGGCAAACAATACTAGAGAACTCTCTAGAAGCATTGAAAGTACTCTCATCTTGAACATCGGTGTCCCACAAGTAGAACCACTTTTCTCTCTCTCTTTTTTAAAAAATTTGCCAGAAGGTACATGTGATCACCAGAGAGAAAAAGAGGAAAAGTGAGAAAGCATCCCATGAGGGACAACCCCTTCTCCTCCATTTCTCTCTCCTATTGGGATTTCGAGCACATACGCACACACATCTGGAGTTTTTTTCAAATTATCTGGGTCCAGTACTCTAACAGTGAGGTTAGCCATGTGGGATCTAGCTACTGTAACCACCATACCATGGGCTGGCCCTTAAGGACACTTCTCTGTGTCTCCATTTCCACTGCCTAACTTTGTAGTCACATCTGGATAAGAGGGAAAACCTCTTATCTGGTTTTCATGTCTCAAACCTCTCCCTTAAATTCTCTTTTTTTTAAGTAGAGATTTTTTTCTATAGGGTGCATGCACTCACTAGAGAGAAAGATAGTAAGTGAGAAATCACCCCCTGGGGGTGAAAGGATGGCCACTTTTTTTAACCCTCCTTCCATTGCTAATGAATGTGCCACCTGTAACTGGAATCAGGCCCATTTGCAAAATAAGGGCTTGCCTACCTCTGCAGTTTCTAAGAAGTAGTTCCTGAAAGAGACCTGGACAAATGGAGCCAGCAGTTTGTTTCCACACTGCCCCAGGCAGAGCAGGACACCCGTTACCACCCTGCAGGTCAGAGTCTATGTACAATCTCACACAGAAATAGATTTCTATGGACCACTTGGAAATATGAAATGGCTGGTTAAGGCTATTCCTTAAGTTCCTCCCAGCTTCCTGGTGTGACTATGACAAACAAGACGGCACTTCACTGCCACAACAAGAGTAATCCAAACCAAAGAGAATGCAGAGAAAGCCCTCTGAAGATGACAAGATGCTCAACCTAACTATTCTCAACCTCACTATTTTTCAGAGAAATGCAAACCAAAACCATAATGAGATAGCACTTCACACCAACCAAGGTGCTACCATAAAAACAAAAGACAGAAAATAAAAGGTTTCTATGGGAATGCGGAGAAATTGCAATCATTTTGTACTGTTGATGTGAATGTTAAAATGGTGCAGCTCCTGAGGAAAACAGTTATACCAGTTCCTCAAACAGATAAACCAAGAATTACCATACTACAATTCCACTGATGAGTATATTCCAAAATAATGGGAAGTAGAGATGCATATATTTGTGTGTGTATTCTCATAACAACATGATTCATCATTGTCAAAAGATGAAAGCATCACACATGTCCATCAATGAATGAATGGATAAGCAAACTATTATTTATCCAAACAGTGGAATATTGCTCATCTTTAAAAGGAAGTTAATTCTGACACCAGATACAACATAGATGAACCTTGTAGAACATTATGCTAAGTGAAATAAGCCAGTCACAAAGAGACAAATATGAAACGATTCCACTTATGAGGTACTGAGATTAGTCAGATTCATAGAGATGACTGCCAGGGGCTAGGGAAGAGGGAATGGAGAGATGCTATCTAATTGGCATAGGAATGTCCATCATTCCAGTTTGGAATGCTGAAAAGAATTCTGGAAATTGATGGTGGTGGTGGTTGCTTACCAATGTGAATATACTTAATGCTATTTTTAAATGGTTAAAATGGTACATTTTATGTTATGTTTATTTTACCACAATAAAAAGTTCTTTGAATCTCATTTTCTGAGAAAGATAACCTGACAGATAGCAATGAGAAAATGCCTCCTGGAATAACAGCTGGGGTTCTCTAGCTGGTGATATTTATTGACCAGACATATGCATGTCTCCTCTCTTTGGCAGGAGAGACCTAGCACTCTGATGGTCAGGCTATGGAGAATAAAAATAGAACCTCCGCTTTCAGCAATGTTTTCCATAAGTTGGAAACACTGACGCTTTTATGACAAAAAGTATCATTTTTCTTCTTACATCTTCTTAGGAGTCACTTCATAAAGGATACCCCTTGATTTTTGTATAGTCCAATTGAGGAACACAACAGGAAAGAAATATACACATTAGGACTAGATTTCCTGGATTGTGCAATTAGATTCCTACTAAATCTATAGAGGCTCTGCATATGGGCATCAAATATTTACTTCCCAGGGTGGATTTTAACCATAGACCCACCGAAGGGGCAATCTAAGTGTGGTGCAGCCCTCTGCATCTGAGTGTACACAACTTAGGTGAGTTTGCTGGGGCTGGCAGGAGTGACACCCTCCTAACAGGATCGACAAATCAACAAGGTTACCTGATTTTCAATGTATTTTTCCTTTTTAGATGCAATGTCATCCCTCTACAACAAAAATTGTACCCTACTTACTACAGAGATTATGTGTATATCCACTATTTTGCATATCTGCTCAGTAAATTGCCTGACATAAATTCTTCATCTGTTCGAATACAGGCTCTATGAAGAGAGGCAGTTTAACTGTTTCTTCTACTCAGTATTGTCGCTATGTACTTTACAAGAGAAGTTCAAAATATCAGGGCAAAATTATGACTACCTGTAGGCACTTTTGTTCAATAAGGAAATGAGGAAGAGACGTTCTGTCATTAAAGTATTGAGAAGTATGTTTTATGACTGGGTTGATAAAAAGATGGATACCATCCAAGCTGAATTTATTATTACTACATTTAGCGTTTTCTTTTGATTTTAAAAAAGTATGAGGCCAGCAGGTGGCATGGTGGTTAACACATTGGATTCCCGTATGGTTGACCCTGGTTCGAGGCTGGGACATAGAGGCTTGAAACCCAAGCCAGGTGGGTACATGAGCATGTATGCCCAAGATCTCAAGAAGAGAATGGAGAAGAAGGGATTGTAGCGTGGCCATTGTCTCTGGGGAGTGATTTCTCATTTTCCCTCTCTCTATCTCTCTCTGGCAAGCACACATGTCCTATGACAAAAACCTAAAAATAAATGAATAAACCAGCATCCTTCCTTATAAAAGATACTTCAGAGAGCTGCCTACCTTCCTGCTCTTTAATGTTCCTCTCCTTCTGCCATGTGAAGATGTAACATTCAAGGCACCGTCTTAGATGCAGAGCAAGCAGATCTCACCAGACATCGAATCTGTCAGCACATTCGTCTTGAAATTCCAGCATCCAGAACTGTGGGAAATGAATTTTTATTATTTATAAATTACCCAGTCTGAGGAATTTTGTTATAGCAACACAAACAGACTAAGGTCATACTCATGTATATAGAGCTAAATATTTGTAACTACTGCACACCAGGCAATATAGTGAGACCAGGAATATCAGACAAGTAAGACATGAATTCAGGTTCCTACTATTTGAACAGAATCCTAACTTGTGTCTTAGCTTTAAGTGTTATGCAAAGTTCCTTAGCATTTCTTTGATTTATTAAAGCTAAACCTGCTTTTCTTGAAATTAAAATATACATTAAAAATACTTATTTAATGACTGTAGTAAGCTAAATAGCATCAGCTAGGTGCTACCTTGTAGTATATTCATTCTACTCAGAGTCTCATGCCTAAAGTCAGACATGTATTCACAGATGTGTACATACCAGTTGAACTTGCTATTGAAAGTAGTTAGATTATTTAATAAATTCTGTGAATTAATAAAATGTGGGGGGAAAAAGGAATGTAAAACAACTGTAGACACCTGAGATAGTGTGGGAGGATGGTAGGAAATGGCAGAGGGTGAGAAATAGGGGTAAATATATATATGTGTGTGTGTGTGTGTGAGTATACACACACACATATATATATATATGAAACTAGAAATGGAAAATTATTGATGATAACATGTATGATTAAGCCACTATGCAGTATATTCTGGATAGGAAATCACATTTTGTATGCTATGACGATGCGCAGGGAATGAATGTAAAATAATTTAAAAAATGTTTAAGAAGAAAATTACAGGGTACTTGTAACTAGGGGAAAAAAGTTTTAGAGGAATAATAAAGAAAAATCTAAGTAAAAAAAAAAAAAGACAGGGATTTGGGTTTTAAGAAATTTATAGCCCTCCATGTCTCTGCTCATGTCCCTGCTCATGTCCCATATTTGTATTCTTCCAGAATATTCTGAAATCTTCTTCAAGATCATCTCTACCTTTTAAACCCTAAATAGTCTATCAAAATGTACTCTCACATCCTGTCTTATTTATAAAGCCTTTTCTGAGGCAGTCTTAATTTCTTAATTTCTCTTCCGTCAACTCCCAGATTATTTATGATATTGTGGTCATTCTGTTTTGTAGTGAAGAAAATTTCAAATTGTAAATTCCTTGATCTAAGGGCTGAATTTAATTAATTAGTAAATAAACTTAGATATAGGCCTTGCATTCATTCATTTATCCACTCATACTTTTTTTTAATGAAATATTTGTTGAGTGTGCAATATTTTGTATGCTCAAGAAACAGAAAAAAAAGTAGTTGTTTGTTTTTTTTTCCCCCTAACTTCTAAATTTGACTGTAGTTTATGGGGCAGTAGTGGAAACTAGAGGAATGACAGACGGGTCTCATATCTGGAATTCTTGTTCTCTCTTAGCCTGTCTATGGTACTAAGCTGTACATAAAATAAATACAGGCATGCAAGAGTACTTCAAAAATACATCTTGAAAAACTGAATTAAAGAACAATTTTATTTTTATACAGTTTTTTGGGTTTTTTTCTGAGAGTTTTTTGCTATAGGGTGAGTGCGCTCACCAGAATGACAGAGAAAGACAGAGAGAGAGAAAGCAAGAAATCGCCCCCCAGGGGGATGCCCAGCATGAGTTTAAGCCACCTGGTCCAGCTCTCGAACCATGGTCGACTCTATGGGAGTTCAGCAACATAGCCATTACGCTAACTGCTGGTCCCAATTTTGGTACAGTTTTTAGAAATTCATGCATGCATTTTTTCATAATGCGCATTTTCCATTATCTTTTCAAAGACTCTTCATATGTAAGTGATGAGAGAGATCATTTGGATTGGGGTTGTTTACAATTACAAAATAATAGGATGAATTGTCTGGGATGTGAGCCTAATGATTAGTAGGATTTAGAAGGTTATCCCAGGGTTGAACAGCTGACCCAAAACACCAGGCAACAGTGAAAGGTTGTGTGTAGGGGAAGAGGACACCAGGAAGACCAGGAAATAGACTCTGGTCAGAAGTTATACAAAAGGAACTCTCACAGGCAGGGCGAAGACCAGATGAGGACCTTGGTTCTATGTACATAGGTATTACTTCAGTTTGTTTGTGCTATTATAATAAAATTCCTCTGACTGAGTAATTTAAAAATAGTCAAAATTCATTTCCCATCGTTCTGGATGCTGGAATTTCAAGATCAAGGCACTGGCAGATGTAGTGTCAAGTGCAGATTGCTCTCTGCTTCCAAGATGGTGCCTTGTTGCTGGATCCTTTAAAGAGGCTGAATGTTAGGTCTCCACATGGCAGAAAGACTGAGGGACAAAAAGGTCAGAAGGGCAGGCAGCTCTCTTATAAGGACACTAGTCCCACTCAAGTGGGCAAATTCTTAAGATGTAATCACTTCCCAAAAGGTCCCGTGTTAACTGGGCTCAAATACCAGGTTAATGGGCTCAAACTCTGACCCTGAATCTCTGAAAGTAGAAACTCAGACTGATGCTGTTTACCCTATGTACTGGGAGGACCAACACGGCTCCAGAAAATTCAACGGCTCTATTTTCGTTTCCTTTCTGAGCTTTTTTGTAGAGTTATGCAATGAACGGGTAAATGGTGACTGGAAGGTTTCCCAGGGAGGAAAACCACTGTATTGGAGGGCACTTTTGCTCATCAAGCCTCGTACCCTCAGCACACTCTAATTTCAGCGTGTGGGATACAGTATAAGGAGTGATACGGATCAAAGAGGCAAGAAGAAAGATATTTTATCATTTGGTATTTATTTTTTTAATTACTTGTCAGAGAGAGAGAGAGAGAGAGAGGAGAGAGAGAGAAACCAACCCCCAACTGGACCTGGTCATGTCACAATCCTATCTTGTCCATGTCTCCATCTCATCAGGATCCTGGGCATGTGAAGTGCCTTTGCACCTGCAAACCTGAGCATACTTGTTTGTTCTTGCCATGATCAGGCTTCCAAACATAGTAGCAAATAGGATCCAGTTCCCTTTCCACAGTGCTTAAACCACTGTACTACAGGGCTGGCCACATTTAGTGTAATCTCTCCCTTTTCTTTTTCTTTTTTTCCTTTCTTTGGAGAGGTTTTTGCTATAGGGCACGGGCGCTAGCCAGACAGAGAGAGACAGAGACAGAAAGCGAGAAATCACCCCCCCGGGGGGGGTGGCCATGCCACAATCTCTTCTCCTCCATTCTCCTCTCGGGATCTTGGGCACACATGCACACGCACGCGGTGTGAGTTTAAGCCACTAGGTCCAGGACTCGAACCGCGGTCGGCTACATAGGAGTCCAGCGGCATAGCCATTATGCTAACTGCTGGTCCCAATCCCTCCCTTTTCTGAGGCAACACAAACCTAAGAAAGAAGAACCTTCTTATTTCTATCCCTTCCCCTCTTTAGAGATCCACACAGCCATATGGGATAAGTAGACATCTTGCCCTATCTGTTCTTGCTCAAGGGTAGGTCACATGAGGCTCATTAGATGCAGGAAAGATGTTACATGGAAGAGGAAGCAATGTACCCAGGCTTGCACAGCTAAAGAGAGGAAACTCAAGGCCAGAAGAATTGGGAGCTCCAGCTCACTGGAGCCAACAGCTTGGACATCCCCCTCTCTTCCCTCCCTTTCCAAAGTTGTTTTGCTTTTATAACAATTTCTTTTTGGAGAGGGTGTGGGAATAATTTATCTCTAAAGCTCCTCCCAGTTTTGTTTTCCTTCATTCTCTCTTCCTGTTCTCTCTCTTCCATTCCCGAAATACTGGTAAGTACTAGTTAGGAGAGGAGATCAATATACAATTTAGAGCAAAAAATTAAGAACAATGAAGGTCAGCAGAAAGAAAGATTTTGGTTTTTTTCCTCTAATCATTTGAGATAATAAAACATAAGAGTCATAGAATTCAAAGAGCAATGCTTTCTTTTTTCCTTTCTTCCAAATTATTTATTTCTGATGAAAATTCTGAGATTAAACATTACAGAGAAGTAAAGTTATGACATAAAGTTTAAAACCATTGCCCTGTGCATTATAGGATAAGATGTTTTAGATAATCATAAAATTTTCTTTCTAATTTATAAAAACGTTATTTTAGTAATCCAGAATTTTTGTAGTTGGTGATAAAAATTTTGTTTGGATAATTTCCTATGGTTGTTTTCATAATTAAAAAAAATTACATTTCCATGAAACTTGCTTTAAAGAATTTTTATAAATAGTGAGTCTTTTGCTATATCTATAATAAATATATATTCATTTTATATATATTTATAGATAGATAGATATTCATTCAGATTAATTTTTGCTTAGGTTTACAATGATCATCTTCATTCTTAGCACTATCTTGAGAAAGCAATCCTCTTCTACTGCTTAAGAAAAAAACTGTTCCAGACAGTGCATAATCATATTCATTTAGATTCTTTACCTAAAGCCTATTTTAAACCTTATTTCACTAACGCAAAACCTACCAGTAAAATGGAAAGAATAGAAAACTACATTTATAGACTATATTTCTAATTTAAGAAGCACTTTTCTGCATTCTGAAATTTTAATGTGGATTATTTATATAGTCCATAAGGTTTAAGTAATACTAAGAGAAGACTTTACAATGTGAAACTGGGTTCCCCAACATTAAAATCAAGTGATCTTCAGAACAGGCATCAACTGAGACACTTTCAAACAGTGGTATTACAGAAAGAAAATGTAGCTGTAAGCATAATACATTAAAAAAAGATAAACTCAGATAAACAAGGAAAATGGGGGAGAAAGTTGTCAGGGAAGAAGCTATGTCTCTTTGCTTTCTCTGCTTTTTCACTTCTCAACTTCTTTTGTCTGATAACACCACTGTCACTTCGTAATTGCAGGATTTCCATTTAATGAGGCTAAACATCTGAAATAGCCCTACATTTTATACCTCCAAGAATGCATTATGTCATAAAATGACATCTGACTAGATTAGAATGGATTGTATATCTTTGTTAATATAGATTCGTTGTAACATCAATTTAATCCTGATATATAAAA